CCCTTTTAAAAAAATACATATTTACATTGATTTCAGAGAGGAAGGGAGAGGGAGAGAGATAGAAACATCAATGATAAGAGAGAATCATTGACTGGCTGCCTCCTGCACACTCCCTACTGGGGAAATGAGCCCACAACCCGGGCATATACCCTGACCTCCTGGTTCATAGGTCGACACTCAACCTCTGAGCCACACCAGCTGGGCTTATCATTACTAATAATAAATAAAACGCAGGCATTTTGGAACTGCTTTTGCAATTATTTCTGCTGGGTTTTCAACTCATAAACCTCTTGAACTAAATAGCTTTTTTAAAAAGAACACTTAATATTTTAATGAAATAGATATGTGGGTGAATTCCAGAATTTATCTTTTATGAGTTGTGCCAAACTCCCCAATTTTTAAGACATCAGACTAAGAAGAACAATTCAGAAAAAGAGTGGCCTTACCTTTTGCATCCATCTTAAATATACTTAATAGGGCATTGTTCACTAAGTTAAATTCTGCAGAGTCATCTACAAAGAGAAAAAGTAGTACAACGCATAAAATAAATGAAAAATATCATCTGCTTCATTTTCAAACTTAAGATTCAACATAGATTCTCCTGGATTACATTGAGACACATAATTTAAGTAATTCTCTCAAGTACTGAGAAAATACATCTTCCTTAAAAAGGCAGAAAACCTAATATAGCATGCCTGGAAAGGTTTTATATTAAGACTAGAGGCCTGGTGCATGAATTCATGCACCAGTGGGGTCCCTTGGCCTGGCCTGTGGGATCAGACCGAAACCGCTCTCTGACATTCCCCAACGGGTCCTGGATTGTGAGAGGGTGCAGGCCAGGCTGAGGGACCCCACTGGTGCACAACAGGGGCCGGGGAGGGACATGGGAGGTTAGCCAGCTGGGTGGGGCGCCGTGGGAAGGCTCCAGGTGTTTCTGGCCTGTCTGGCTGTGTCCCAATCGGCTGGACCCCAGCAGCAAGCTAACCTACCAGTTGGAGCCTCTGCCCCCTGGTGGTCAGTGCACGTTATAACAAGCAGTTGAGCAGCCTTAGCATATCATTAGCATACTATGTTTTGATTGGTTAAATGGATGACTGGACAACCGGACACTTAGCATATTTGGCTTTTATTATATAGGACTAGAGGCCCGGTGCACAAAAATTTCTGCAAGAATAAGGCTTCCTCAGGCCTATTCCTGTAAGAATAGGGCTTCCCGAGTACTCCCATCTCCGCTGCTGACAGGGGCTGAGGGCAAGGGACTACATCTTATTTATCTGTGTATCTGCAGAATCTATCATAGCACTTGGCTCAAAGTGGGTGCTCAGGAATTGTTGAATGAAAGAATGAATGCCAGCGGTTCTCAACCTGTGGGTCGCGACCATCGGAAAACACATATAGGATATCAGATATTTACATTAAAATTCATAACAGTAACAAAATTACAGTTATGAAGTAGCAACGAAAATAATTTTATGGTTGGGGGTCACCACAACATGAGGAACTGTATTAACCCCTTCCCCTGCAGAAACGTGTATACTCGTTTTCACAAAATGTTCTTTTTCAGTCGTCGACGAGTATACTAAGAAAATATGGTAAAAAAATATGGTTTATAGGAAGACGAGTTACACACTGTTTTCATAACCAGCATCAAAAATACTATATAGAACCAAAATAAAAAAATTAGTCTGAAAAAGAAACGTTTTTAACAAAAAAATTGTTGGGGAAGGGGTTAAACTGGACCAGAGGGCCGGAACAAAAGCAGGGATGGAGTGTTTGTGTGAACTAATACATGTTAACACTGCTGCTGGTGAAGGAGGAGAGGGGAGAGCAAGAGAACCCTCCGCTCTTTCGGGTCCGCGGGCCGGATAGAACAGCCGAACGGGCCGGCCCCACTGGCTCAAAGCAGGTACCTGGGGTTTGTTTAGGTTCTATAATTGCAACATTGTTGCATCCGGAGCTCAGAGCTGGGCTGAGGCAGGCGGGGAACCTTGGCTTCCTTCATCACTGGAGCAAGCAAGCCTCATGTTTGCTTCAGCTGCCTGGCTCCCAGCCGCCATCTTGGCTGGCAGTTAATTTGCATATCTCACTGATTAGCCAATGGGAAGGGTAGCAAAGTTACAGTTAATTACCATGTTTCTCTATTAGATAGTATGGTCCAATTATGAAACTATAGGAAATTAGAGGGGAGGAGATTATGATGCATCAAAATCTCCCAAAGAATCTAGTCATTTTGCCTTTATTAACAGAATTCAATACAAAACAACACTAGGAATTGGATAATCACAAGTCATTAAGTTTCAAACTATTAAATATAAGAGAATTTTTTTTAAAGCTAAAAACAGAGTCATTTCAGACAGAAGTTACATATATTTAAAGTGCAGATTTAAATACTATTATTTAAATGAATTTATTTATCTTTGTCTTAAATCTTTATTGTTGAAAGTATTACCTATGTTCTCCTCCCCACCAATTGACCCCTTTTAGCCTGGAGAAGTCATATTCATTAAAAGGATAATGTTATTATTTCTTACCTGTTTGCAAAAGTTGGGTTAGAATATCTGCCACTCGGGGAAGATTTTCTCCAGTGGCAAACTGAGGAAGCTCTTTAATTGCTTGCCGTCGAATCTGGATATAATTTCAAACAAAAATTTAACCAAATACTATCAATAAAAACAACAAACCCATCTTTAAAAAAAACTAAAACCACAGAAAAACCATTAATTAGGGGGCAGATGAATCACAAAAATATAAAACATGAAAATTCTAGCAGTTTCAGAAATAATTTGCTTCAATTTAGCATTCAAGCTTCACAGAATAACTAAAATAAAATGTTGTGGGAAGAGACATTAAATATGATTATCTGATTGGAGTAGACAGATTTGAGATTATAAACTATGGTTTACATATTGATCATACACAACTATTGTTTTTTGTTTGTTTTTTTTTAGGGCACATAATATATATCCCTTAAGAAAGCCCACAGTGGCAATGTCATATCTAGTAACTATTTACTTTCCAATTTTCAGTATTGACTACTTAATACACATTTGTGAATATTTTATGTATTTAACTCCAAATATGTAGTCTTGGCTTATTTAGTTTAACATAAAAATGTATGGGAGTTACAGCTAGCAAATTCTGCATGAAATGTTGTTAATTCACAAATTTCATTTGAAAGTCATGAATAATAGCTGAAAATTCTCAAAAACCTATATCAGCAGCCAGAAATGCTAAGGCTAATTCTTCTTATTCTAGTTATCCTATACAATTATTACACAGACCAAATATTTTCCTGCTATGAAAAATATTTAGGGTTGTTGAAACTGTTTTATGATGTACCACTACTAAAACTTTAAATACTAAGGTAAGCATAAATTGATTGAAAACTAACATTAGTCTCATTTCATATGCACAATGTATAATGAGTTACAAAATAATGGCCACAACCCATTTTTAACCATGAATAACGAATAAGCAAAACAAAGTACCTTGTAATTCTATGCATTTTTCACAGTTGAAGGGTGGTGAAAGAGCAAAAAATTTTCTCAAATGTAGAGAAATGGTATGACATTGTGCCAAACCATATTGCAGTATTTTATTGGGCACTGAGATGATTGGTACTTAATTATATGAACTATGCACATACAATGTCTGGAAATGGAAACATCTGAAAACTTATTGAAAAGCATCAATCATACACTTACTGATACATCTTCATCCTCACAGAGGTCTAACTGTGCATTGATAGCAGAATCAGCCAATTCTGGAAAATGCTTAAAGAATTTTGGAATAAACTGAGCTGCTAATCTTTTTTCCTTGGTACCACCTTTTACACCATCCAGTATCACTTGATAGGCATCTTTATGCTGAAAGAATAAAACAGAAAAGAAACACAATTCTGAATGATGAAAGCTAAACAAACTTGTTGAACCTAAATTAGTAAAATTTTACAAAGACTAAGCTTATAAATAGGGCTTGTTTTGGAGTGTTACTGCTTAAATTGGACACCTACCTTCCTTCCATCTG